AAAGAGTGTGCAGGGGAGAGGAGAAGGTGTGGATCCAGGCTGAAAAAAGGGAGTGGGACAGTGGAACAGGGAGAACGACGTGGGGCAGCAGGAGCTTATTTCCACACTGAGCTTTGAGTGCTTAAAGCTCCCTACACATAGAACCTGGGAGATCAGGCACACTGTTTGGCTGGGGTCACTCTGTACAGTGCAAAGAGGTCTGAAATTAGAGGCAGAAAGTCTGTGGAGAATCCTGTCTTTATCCCAATATTAATAGAGTGCCATCTTTTATTGCCCTCCTTTATTCCTCCTCTTCCCCTGTCTATAACACACCGTCCCGTTTCTCCAAATTTCACCTGCCTAAAATCTGTGGCCCCAGACTTCTCCCAAAGCTTCTATAATGCTTTCTTCTCCAGCCTGCAGGTGGACAAAAGCTGTGGCAGCTTCTGTAGGTAGCTTCTGGACTGGGCAGACAGTTCCTGCTTGACTGGTGTGGTTTCTCTCACTGGAGTCTGGCGTTGCAAGCACCTTTTTGCCACTTCCACTTTGAGAGCAGAGCTGATGCCCTTTCGTTTACAGAGGAGAACATGTTATACATTGTTTTTCAGACAGATTTTATTAATTTTGCTGCATTAACATGAAAACAGGAAGAAAATTCTGAGAAAAAGAACAAGAATTTAAAATAAAGCACAGCATTAGAAATAGCACAATTCAACAGGATTTGTATCACACTGGCCTAATTTATGCTTTAGTATTACAAAGGTGCTTTCACTTTAGTACAGCAAAAAGTATAAAAGAAAAGAAAATATTATTTCCAAGCAAGGAAATTTACTACAAGAATAGTTTTTAATCTTTTCTGTAGTCTATCTGTGGCTATTAACCTCACAACTTGTGGTCAGATTATAGCAACTGATAGGATAAAAGCTAACAACTAACAGAAGCAGTGTCTTTATGTTCTAAGGCTACAGGGGTAAGAATATTTGCACCTAGATTAAGGCATCTGATACCTAAATTTAGAGGCTGGCATTGCCAGGTTCCTTCTAGGCTTGGACAGGTAACCTTCCCCAGAGGCCATTTAAATCATCTCTGCTTCTGATTTGGACATCTTGGACATGGAGGGACCTGGGGGAGATTTGCTGTTAATTTAAGCATCTGAATCACATGCCTCATGTTAAGTAATGTGGAATCCCCTCGTGTCTTTAGGCTGCCTGGAGGTTGGGTGAAGCTGCCCCTCCAGATTTCCAGGAGCAAGGCCTTACACGTGTGAGTGGTGCCCTTGCAGAAGGATGGTTCACATGCAACAGGAGCACTCACCTGCACTTCCTTATGGTTTGAAACCAGATCTTCTCCACTCTGCCCCTCACACCTCTTCTTTGGTAACATCATGTCCCTAGAATATCACTTTCTTTTGCAGGGAAACTCCCAATAATGGCATAAATATATGGTCTATGCCAGTAGGCTAATGGTCTCAAGTGTTCAATTAGCTTGCAGTCCTAACTGGGGCCCCTGTTGGCTGTGGGCACTCCTCTCCTGGGAAGGCAGAGCAGGGCTGGCTCCTCCACTGCTGGCTGCTTCTGTGGGTCCAAGGCTCCTGCCTGCTAGGAGTGTGTCCCAACCATCAGGCTGTGTGTGGAGAGCAGTTTTTTCTCATGCGGGAGCCTGCCCTGAGACCCTCACTGCATCTGCCACGTGAAGTCTTCCTCCACACACCTAACGTCCCTGTGCAGAACTAGGGAGGCCCCCACTCCACTCAGTACTGTGCTCATGGTCTCCAGAGTCCTTCAGAGGGTCCTGGGATCTTTTCCCCAAAATATCTTACATAGCAAATACCACAGGAATTTCCATTCTGGCCTTGCAGATCTCTGCTGGTGTGCTTTTGTTGGTTATGTGCTGTTTCCCTTGGAGGGATGTGATTTGTCAGCAGGA